AGCCTTACGTCTCACGCACGAGACTCGTCTTCGCCTTTTTGCTATCTTATGTTATTTTGTCATGTTGGCGAGGACTTTGGTTTATGTTGTATAGATAGTTTTGATTGGTTGACTTAGACTTGAATAATCCTGTATGTATAGAGCTTTGTGTTAGTACATTTTCTGATGTGAGTTATTAACATGTATATGTATGGTTTGTCATGATGTGCCATGTAAGCACAGCTCTATGGACAAAGTTTTAAAATTTGCTTCCGTTTAGCCCCTTTACTCTGATGAGTTATGTTTGGTCTGGTTTGAGGGGCCGGTTATGCCCTAAACTCATAGGGGCGAGTTCGGGTCATGACACTTATTATATGTCAGAGTTGAATTATACTTGCATATAATAGAATTGAACTAAGTTGGCGATGTTTCTGAATAAAACATGACGAGAAACTTAGACTTATTATATGGCAGAGTTGAATTATACTTGCATATAATAGAGTTCAACTAAGTTGGCGATGTTTCTGAATGAAACATGACGAATGACTTAGACTTATTATATGACAGAGTTGAATTATACTTACATATAATAGAGTTGAACTAAGTTGGCAATGTTTTTGAATGAAACATGATGAGAAACATAGGCTTGTTATATGACAGAGTTGAATTATACTTGCATATAATAGAGTTGAACTAAGTTGGCGATGTTTCTGATTGAAACATGACGAGAAACTTAGACTTATTATATGATAGAGTTGAATTATACTTGCATATAATAGAGTTGAACTAAGTTGGCGATGTTTTCTGAATGAAATATAACGAGAAACTTAGACTTATTATATGGCAGAGTTGAATTATACTTGTATATAATAGAGTTGAACTAAGTTGGTGATGTTTCTGAATGAAACATGACGAGTAACTTAGACTTATTATATGACAGAGTTGAATTATACTTGCATATAATAGAGTTGAACTAAGTTGGCGATATTTCTGAATGAAACATGACAAGTAACTTAGACTTTTTATATGACAGTTGAATTATACTTGCATATAATAGAGTTGAACTAAGTTGAATTCACCTAGACTTGCCATGTTGGCACAGTTAAACTCAGAATGGAACTAAGTTTGCTTTAGAGAAACCAAGGTTGAACACCTCGGCTAGTCTTTGTTTGAATCAGACTTCGGCGAAATTGAATATGCATGCTTAACGTGAACATAAGTGACACTTGGGTTCACATGAGGAGGTAGGAAGCAGGAATAAAGAATAGGCTTAACACTTGTTGAAATTTTTACAAGTTGGAGTCAGCCGAGATATCCAGATGAGGAGACAATCGAGTTGTTGGTTACCCGAGTTCACCAACTAGTTCATCAAACCTGGACATATTGGAAGGCAGTAAGTACAAGTAAGGAAATAATACTTGTTGAATGTTGTTTAAAATTTTTTATAAAATGCCCGTTAGCCGAGATAACAATAAAAGGTGAACTCCGAGGTAAGTTGGTCCGAGATGGCTAACTAAGGGTGTACCCGAGATGAAGTGAATTCGAGGTGGTACATGTCAGATGTGTTCTAACTCGAAGTGATTACACAGTGAAAGTATACTTGGGAGAAGTATAAAAATATTCTAAGTATGAAATCATACAAGACAGAGATAAGCATTGAACACTTAGTAAAAAAGAGGATTTGCATTCAAAAAGACAACTTGTTCAGATACAAAAGAAGGCACGTCGGCCCAAAGCAAAACAAGATATCAAGATGGAATCTGACTCCACCCTCAAATGATAGATACTACAGGGAAGGGCATATATGTCTCTCCAGGCATCATGGAATCCTCCTCCCTAACCAACCTTAGATAAATGTCGGCTGGAATGAAGAATTCTTGATGGAAGTATTCTAGTTTATTGGAGAAGTTTACCCTTCATTTGAACATCTCCATGACCTCGGCTAGGGTGAATTTGGCAAGGAAAGTTGGACTATGTGGGTTAAAGACCTCGGCGAAACCCTAAGGACTGCTGGGTTATCAGTTTTAGGGTTTTGAGGAAGGTTTGGGGGCAAAATTTGTTTTAGTTTTCCTAAGTGTGGATTCTAGCAAATCCCAAACCTACATCTATGCAAATGTACAGGATTCAGAGGCAGTAATCTACTAACAAGCAAGAATAGACAAAAGAAATAGGTCTCAAAAACATGAAATAGTGATCAAAGACTCAAGAACACAAGAAAAATAGAGCATTGATAAATTCAGGGAATGAACAAAATTGATAAAATTCGATGACAGTGTGCTAGAAGATATGTTTCAAATACAGAAAAAATGTGAAGATGGGCTCAAGAACATGAAGGACAAAATATGAGTCAAAGCAAACGAATGAATGCAGAACAATGTGATTCGAATATGAATACAAGATAACAATATAGATGCAGATACAGATACCGTGTGTGATGTGTAACAATCCACAGAAGGAATATATTTGAAAACAAACTAAAGTTAAAATAAAAGAAATCAAGGGCTTACAAAGTGAAGCTGAGGAAGTAAATGCCAAAAAAGGATTCGCCGGAGTCAAACAACGTTATGATTGGAACACAACTGCTGAGTGCACGCCAAAAGTGGTGACCAGAGTTGTAATAGGAATGAATGCATCAAGAACAGCGATGATGGCTTGCAGAGGCCAAGAGAAAGAGAGTCTAAAGGCACAAGTAGACACGAAATGAGAAAATGAAAAGGTTTTGCTAGAATTGGAAAAAGATGGCAAAAAGTTATGATTTCAATTCCCGACGTGCCCGTGTTGACTTCAAGCGGAGGGAGGCAGAATTGACGCGACACAATGGGGACGTGATTGGTATGCTCCAATCTGATGATGATCTTGATTGAGAAGTGCGATTTTGGTTGAGATATTGATCTCGGTTGAGATGTTGAAATTGGATGGAGGCACAACTTGTTTATTTTTGGTTTTTGATGAGATGATACTAGGAGCTTGATGTTCTTGAACTAGCAAGTCATGATCTCTGCTAGTAATGTGATCTCTGTTGAGATGTTGGACCTGGATGAGATAGAACATGATGGTTCTTGATTCTTGATTCTTGACGAGTGGAAATATGAGTCCTTATTTCTTGGCGTCGACAAGTCACGATCTTGGTCGGAGGAGTACATGTATAGGTTCCATCACCTCAGTTTGCCGAGGTAATAGAACCTAGGGGGCAGTTGTGGGGGCATATTTTTGGGTAGTTCACATAGCTGAGGTTGTTAGCCGACGTACCACGTGGGCGGACCATGATGCCGAGATATGGTGTAATAATACCAGAATCTGAGATATTTGGATAGAGGATTAGAGTCCTAGATGACATCAAACTACCTATTTGGATAGAGATGAGACTCTTGAGAAAGTTTATTTTAATCTAAATAGTGTGAGTTGTGATGGATGTTATCATTGTAAAGAATAGAGTCCCTTGAAAGTAAGACTTCTAGGGAAAGTTGGACACTGACCACTATAAAAGTGAGGCACCCCCATGGGTCTAAGGTATGCTTTTATGTTCTGTCTTGTGAGTTAAGCACTATTGGCTATCTTTGAAAGATATTTGATTACTGACTTGAGTGTCGGAGTGCCCCTGGATGGACGAACCACCGCCGGATTCTTATTTTTCTGTGACAAGTTGTTTAGGCTTAATCTATTCTGCTGGTGCTCTCTAGCTGAGTTCCCCCTCTGGTTGTGTGGTCGGAAATCGACACACACAATTTTTATAAATTGACATTAAAACTTACAATTAGCGATGTTTTTCTGTGACAAATTTTATAAACTATTGTTGAAAGTTGAAAATTAGTAATGTTTTTGTGATTATTTTTTTTAAACTGTTGCTAAAACTTATACTTAGCAACATTTTTTGTGACAATTTTTAACTTGTCAATGAAATTAATAATTAATGACGTTTTTATATTTGATGAAAAATGTTATTAATTTTTATAAGATCTATTGAAGAATAAATTTATCTATTCAGACCTACATATAAATCTTCAAATTTTAATTGAATTGAATTGAATAAATAAATAATAAAAGAGTGGTTAACGTAGGAAACAAAAGATGAAACGTCGAAGGAAAAGCGACTTTGGGCTTGTAATTAGTTATTGGGTCGCTACGATCCCTTACCGAATACCTTCCCTCCTTCCACCAGCTTTAGTCCAACCACCCCCTTTAGTAATCTGCGTCCAAACCAAATCACATTATAAAAAAAACAAAACTAAACTAGGCCCCACTAATAACACAAGTTCAGATCAGAGTATATCATATCACATTACATGATTGTTGTGTTCAAAAAAAAAAAAAACATTACATGATTGTTCACAAATGTATTTGAATGCCCAATCATATGAATCCTATGAACACAAACACACACTTATAAATTAATTCAAGTGATAAAATCTTTCAACTAAAAAAAAAATTCATCACATTTTAAATGCGATTTATCACACATTTAATCGACTTATGAAAATATTTTTTTTACACACATACTCGTGAATTATATAATTTTCTAATAGTAGGTGACAAAAGAGAGTCAAAAAATAAGAAAGAAAAAAAAAAAAACTTACAATTTTTTTTAAGTTTTGTTTAGTTGGCATATCAGTTCTATGTACATAGAATTAATTATAAAAAAATAATTTTGACTATAGATAATAGAAAACATCACTAAATAATTTATCACTTGTCTATTTCTCTATTTAGGAATGATATTTTATTTTTAAAATTTTTCGTCCTCAATCATTAGTCATTGAATCAATTTCGTGACACAAAAATTTTAAAACATTATTGAATAGTTGATAATAATAGATAATATACTAAGATATTATTTATTTATGAGTACATTAGGACAAAATTAAGAGAAATTAAGAAAGAGAATTCAGATTCTAATCCAATATAGGTGAGTTTTGAAAATCATATATTCATTTATTTGTGGCCATTGTTATGTCACCTTCATGGAGTATTTGGCAATTACCTATTACTCTAACTCTAATCTAGTAACACCAGTTTGGTTTAGATCATTGTGTCTTTAAAATCAACCCCCCCTCTCTCTCTCTCTCTCTCAACCGTCTCAGGGAAGTCCTCCTCCACCAATCCAACACCCCTCTCTCTCTCCAAAATGAAGAACAACAACATCAACAGCAACACAAGGCTCATCCTCCTCCACCCCTACATCCAAAAACAAGGAAGCTCCAACCGCCTCTGGCTCGTCGCCCTCATTTCATTCTTCACAGTCGCTTTCCTCCTCACCCTCATCTACACCCGCGACTCCATCGCCACCACTGTCACCGCCGCCGCCACCTCCGTTGTCACCGCCACCACCACCACCACAACCACCACCACCACCAACCACCCTCCTCGCATCTCGAAAACCGTCGTCAAAGCCCTCCTCCACTACGCCACCACCTCCATCTCCAACAACACCGAACGTATGACCTACTCCGACATCAAACCCATCTCCGACGTCCTCCACCAATGCTCCTCCCCCTGCAACTTCCTCGTCTTCGGCCTGACCCACGAAACCCTCCTCTGGAAAGCCCTCAACCACCACGGCCGCACCGTCTTCATCGACGAAAACCGCTACTACGCCGCCTACATGGAAGAAATCCACCCCGAAATAGAAGCCTACGACGTCCAGTACTCAACCAAAATAAGCGAAACCAAGGAACTTCTAGCTTCTGCTAGAGAGCAAGTCCGAAACGAGTGTCGGCCTGTTCAGAACCTCTTGTTTTCGGACTGTAAGCTGGGCCTGAATGATCTGCCGAACCAATTGTATGAGGTGGAGTGGGATGTGATATTGGTAGATGGGCCGAGAGGATACTGGCCCGAGGCCCCGGGGCGGATGGCCGCGATATTCACCGCCGGGGTTTTGGCGAGGAGCAAGAAAGGTGGGAATGGAAAGACTCATGTTTTTGTGCATGATTTTGATAGGGAGGTGGATAGAGTTTGTAGTGATGAGTTTTTGTGTAAAGAGAATTTGGTCAAGGCAAAGGACATGCTTGGGCACTTTGTTGTGGACAGAATGGATGAGAATAGCTTTCAGTTCTGTCGCAATCATACATCATCATCGTCCTCGTCTTCATTTTCATAATCTCTAAATCATACAAAAGAGAGAGATACACAATGAATCCGGGTATTTATCATCAATTTGAGTTTTTTTATGGGTTTCATAGTGTGGGGGAATGTAAAAATAATTTTTGTTTTTCGGCAATGGCAAAATTGTAATTTCGTTGAATGAAAAACAATTGTTTGTTGTGTAAAAGGAGTTTTGTTTGATCGCTCATGTTTCGAATGAAGCATTGCCACAATTGTGTGCGCTTTGGAGGTTGTCTCATCTCTACACTATTTGTATAGAGGAGTATCCTTTTTCTTTTTCTTTTTTGGTACAATATTCTTTGATTAAAAGGCATTTGAGATGTTGATTTGGTAGATAATATGCTTTTTAAGTCAAGTTTTGAGTCTGCCAATGCATACAATTTGATTTCCCTTCATTATTCTTTCTTCCCAGCAATTTTTTGAAAAATAATTAAAAGACAATTCACAATGTTGATTTTAGAGTACTGTTAAGTCAGATGGATTGCATTATTGTCATGTCTATATTTTGATTCTTGTATAATTTTAGTTCTTAAAATTTTAATTCATTTGATTTTAATTTTAAATTTATAATTTTGACTTATTTTGGGAAGTTATAATTTTAATCAAAAAAATCACTACAAGAAGTTAACTATTTTTTTATTTTTATTTTTTAACTTTTTTGAAAATCTTTTTGTAAAAAGTACAAAAATAACAAAAAAAAAAAAAAAAAAAGTTAACTATTTTTTTATTTTTATTTTTTAACTTTTTTGAAAATCTTTTTGTAAAAAGTACAAAATAACAACAAAAAAAAAAAAAAAATCCAATTTCCAAAATAACTTTTTTTTGTCTCAATTTAGTCTAATTAATTATGATTGTTAACATTTTTTTAATGAAAAATACACATATAAATGGTATGTGTTATATTTTTAAAAACAAAATTATAAATTTACTAAATTCAATGAGTTAACCAATTCATTGATTATTTTTCATAAAAAACATAAATAATATTATCAATTGAATCAAATTAATATAACATGTACAAATAAATATTAAAATTAAATTAATCAAAAGTATAAATATCAAAATAACACAATAAGCAAAATGTAAGGTCGCAATATTTAGATGGGCCCATTGAACTTCTGATCCAATAACACTGTATTATTGGACGGATGATTCATGAGATTTTTGGTGAAATCCTCTTCCTGGGCTTTTTTCGAGGATAATGAACAACTTAATTAATTTAGCTTCAATAGGTCATTGAGAAAGAGGAGAGTAGCTCACAATAAACATACCATAATTTTTTTTCTTATAGACAATATTGCACTTTCATATATACACAATCTCATATATTTCAAAATTTAATCAGTGAAGATCTCGCAAAAACTCGATCTCGAAATTTGAAAATCTCACCGCCGACAATCTTGTCGTCGGTCAACAATAGACGATTCACTGTCGACGATCTCACGAAATTTGCTTCGATCACGTATTCTCCGGCTATCTTGAAATCTATATCAACAAGAGCTTTATATTTCAAATCCGTATAAGATTTTGAGAGTTTATCAAGACTGAGAGTGTTGATCCAATTTTAGAGATTTTGCTTCGATCACGTGCCACGCCCTAAAATTTGGACAATTAAATATTAAATTAGGACTAAACCCCAATCAATATTCCATCATTCAAATCCCAACAATGATTCATCCCCCCTTTTTCCTTCACCCCCTTTGACCCCCTCTCTCTCTCATTGGTTACTTTTTCTTTTTCTTTTTCTTTTTTTTCCTGCTCCTCCAATCACCACCCGCCACATTTCAAATCCGTATAAGATTTTGAGAGTTTATCAAGACTGAGAGTGTTGATCCAATTTTAGAGATTTTGCTTCGATCACGTGCCACGCCCTAAAATTTGGACAATTAAATATTAAATTAGGACTAAACCCCAATCAATATTCCATCATTCAAATCCTAGGGGTGAAACAAAAAAGAAAAATGCTTGGGAGCACTAAAAAGGGAGCACTAATGATGTGGCAGCGGGCCCCGCCCACTTTCTATGCCTTGTTTTTTTTTATTTTTTTATTTTTTTTACCATTCCCAATGCATTAGTGCTATTAGTGATGTATTTTTTGGTGGTCTAAATCATTGTTGAACAAAAAAACTAAACATTCTCGTCTCCATAAGGTTTAAGTAAATTTTCATCTTCAAAAGATTACAAGGGATAAAAACAAAAGAAAAAAAAAAAACTAACAAAACGCTAACCAAACCATCCACCATAATTTCATAACCAACCAATACCTCAAACATTAAAGTAACAATTAATAGTCAAAATAACTTAAATAATGTAAAGTTACAAACCATGCCAAATTATCAAAATACTAAGGTCATAAAAATAATAATAAATATATAATCTAATATCAACCTTAAGCTTAAGAAAATAAAAGAAGTCCAAACGACATGTCCAACAACTATAATTATTTCTCTTCACCACCATAGTTCCAACTAATTCTGCAAAGGAAATTCGGCTGCGCTCAAACAGAACGCACCCGAGTTGCCAAGAGACAAAACGGGTCAGTATACAGGTATACTGGTATGAATACAAAATTTAACACCCCCGTGCCCACCAGGTACAAACAAAAATACATTTAATTCTTGGTATGAGACAAAACAAGTAGTTCTATCCACACCGAGACGAATAGGTAGCTTCTTGAGGTACGATGACATTTAGTTTCTTACCCGTACACAACAAAATATAAATTGAGTATAAAATAAACAAAATAGAAATAAGAATATGGTGGGTCAACCCTGCATAAAAAGTTACTAAAACCCACCATCCTGCAAAAAATAAAATTAGTATAATTTAATCATAAGTAACTTGCTAAAGAAGTATAAAAATGCACAATTTCATATTTAAATAATTTGAATTGACCAAAACTCAAAGAACAAAATTTGTACAAAATCAAATTTTCTAAAAGGTAGCGCGAACAAATTTAGTAGAAACTGAACAGGTTCAGAAAAAAACTTGATATAAGAACCTAGACGGAATTCAACTGAAAAATCTGAAGCGGAAAACAAACAAAAACTGCCCTAAGATGATTTTTTTCGGAAAAGTTCAAAACACGAAAAGTGTGTATAATAATGTTTTATTTCATTTTTCTCGAAATTAATAAAAATGAGCTCGTTTCGTGGGTTAAAACAACATCTAAAGTCTGCACTATTAAAATGAATAAAAACTCTTGTAACCAAGATCATCTGATTACAAGTTTTAATCAATTTTTTTAATAAAAAGTTAAAACACAAAAGTTGTCTAGAATCACGTATACATGCCTCTACTCAAATTTCATAATTTATCGAGGTCGTTTATTATTTTTCAAGATATACAAATCAATACAATTTACACTATACCAATAAACTCATAATTAAATTTTTTGTACATTAACTTTACCACTTCGGCCCTTCACTTCCGGCCTACACATATATCCCATGTGCTTCCCATATACCTAAAATCGCTCCGAAGCCAAACTTGCGAGGGAATATCGTCCCGAGTTTGACCCATACTCCCGGGATGGTTAGCATATACGTACGCGTGTAAATCAAAGCACTCGTCTACTCATAAGAATGAGGCAACAATATATATACACACACTCTCTCATCTATTCATGAGAACAAACATAACAATGCCAAGTCTAAGGCATTTAAATAAATCTCATAATCTTTACTTTTTTTTTCTTATACATTCTTTCTCACCATCACTCAAATAAAACAACAATCCATGGAGTCATGGTGGAGTATAAGGAATTTATCTATGAGTTCCAATTTTATTTTAATTTCATATATTCATGAGTGTGATTACAATCATAAAATAAATACATATAAACATCTTAAACCTTACATACATGTGTGTGCCAATTTCCGACCACATTGCCAAATTAGTACTTAGCTGGAGAGTACCGGCATAATAGATTAAGCCCGAACGACCTGCAATAGAAAGAAGAGATTCCGGCGGTGGTTCGTCCACCCGGGACACTCCAACGATCAAGTTAGTAAAATATCTCTCAAAGATAACCAATAGTGCTTAACTCATTAGACAAAGCATAAAAGACATACCTTAGACCTATGAGGGTACCTCTCTTTTATAGCCAACACAAACCTAGTCTCAATAAAAGTCTACCTTCAATGGACTTAGGATTACTGTTAATCTTGGACTCCCAGTAGGATTAGGATAAACTCTCTAAGAGTCTTATCTTTACCCAAACTGAAGTTTTCTTCCATTCTAGGACTCTTGTTCCTTATCCGCTTATCCTAGATTCCGGTATCCTCACTGATAACCTCGGCCTAGCCGAGATCATCTCGGCATCATGACCAGGACACGTGACACCCTGGCTGACACTTTGGTGTCACCTTGGCCACGTGTTGTCATTCAAAAATTATGTCCCCACAATACACATCTAACCAAATAATGAAATCAGTCAATCATCTACATGCAAATACAAAATCAAACCAATATCAAATAAATAAAAATAAACAAATAAAAATACGAATCAATCCATCATCTAACCAATATTTATGGACTCTAAGTTTATTTCAATTTCATATAATCATGAGTGTGATTATAACCATAAAATAAATACATAAAAAAATCCTAAACCTTGCATACACAATTAACCAAAATAATTAAAATCAATCCATCATCTTCATGTAAATACGAAATCAAACTAACATCAAATAAATAAAAATAACGAATTAAACATAAATTAGGGGAAGTGGGTTTTGTACTCACAATTATTTTTGAAGATCAAAGAAATATTTAAAGACCTAATGGAGCCACCAAAACAAAACCCTAACCTTTTTTTATTTTCTTCTTCTCTTCCTTACCTCTCTTTCCCGTCTCTCTCTTCTCTCACTCTCTCTGTGCCGCCTCTCTTTCTCACAAAGCACTCTTTGTTTTGTAACCTAATTTCCTATCAATACAACATATATAAAGAATGACTAAAGAAAGCAATAAATAAACCCCCCAAATCCAACATAACCGAATTTACTATAACCTAATTTACTATCATACCTAAATACAATATATATAAATTTGATATTTATTTTATAATTATATAAAACATCTTTTTTTTTATATATAACAAATATAAATATATAAATATTCGGATTAATTAGACATAATTAAATAACACATTAAATTATCATATAACCACACAGTTAATAAAGTCAAAAATAAAGTAAGATCATAATGATAATAATAATAAATAAATAAATAAATAAA